CTTCTAGATCTCGGATCGTCCCATAAATGCCGAGAGTTTCCCAGAAGACTCTCGGGAAGTTCGAGATTAAAAATTAGTAGAACTTTCCAAAAAAATCCGAGAATTTTCCACAAGATCTTAGAACTTCTCAGAAATTCCAAAAACATCTAGAAGATCCGAGTACTTCCCAGAATTCTGACAGTTTTCCAAAATTACCGAGAGCTTCCCATATGTTCCGAGAATTTCTCTGAAGATCTGACCAAAAAAAATTCAACGGCTTCCCAGAAGTTCTGTGGACTTCTCTCACAAATTCTGAGTACTACTAGATCTATATCTTCTAGGTGTCTTTCCAGACAATCCGAGAATTTCCCACAAGATCTCATAACTTTTCAGAAATTCCAAAAACTTCTAGAAGATCCTAGAATTCCCAGAGAATCTCTTAGAAGATTTGCGAATTTCCCAGGAGAAGAACTTACTAGACATTCTAAGGACTTTTCGAAAATTCCTAGAACTACCCAAAATTTCCAACAACTACTCAGCATTTCCGACAGATCGTGCACTTCGTAGAACATCCGAGAACTGACAGTTTTCCAGAATTACCGAGAGCTTCTCATAAGTTCCGAGAATTTCTCAGAAGATCTTTCCAAAAAAAAATCAACAAATTTCCAGAAGTTCTGTGGACGTCTCTCACAAATTCTGAGTACTACTAGATCTAGATCTTCTAGGTTTCTTTCCAAAAAATCCGGGAATTTCCCACAAGATCTCATAAATTTTCAGAAATTCCAAAAACTTCTAGAAGATCCTAGACTTCCCAAATTTTCAAGAGCATAACATAAGTTTCGAGAATTCCTGGGAAATTCTGAGAACTTAAAAAAAAAATGCGTGGATTTACAACGAACTCCAAAAACTTCCCAAAAATTTCGAAAGCTTTCCAGAAGTTCCATAAACTTTCCAGAAGAACCAAGAACTTCACAAAATTCCCAGAAATTAAAAAAAAAACCTTCCCATCAGTTCCAAGAGCTGTCCAGAATTTTCGAAAGCTTTCCAGAAATTCCGAGAATCTCCTAGAAGATTTGCGAATTTCCCAGAAGAAGAACTTACTAGAAATTCTGAGGACTTCTCGAAAATTCCTAGACCTGCCCAGAATTTCCGAAAACTTCTCAGAATTTCCGACAGATCCTGACAAGATGCGTAGCTTTCCAGAATTACCGAGAGCTTCCCATATGTTCCAAGAATTTCTCAGAAGATCTTCCCAAAAAAAATCAACAACTTCCCAGAAGTTCTGTAGACTTCTCTCACAAATTCTGAGTACTACTAGATCTAGATCTCCTAGGTTTCTTTCCAAAAAATCGGGGAATTTCCCACAAGATCTCATAAATTTTCAGAAATTCCAAAAACTTCTAGAAGATCCTAGACTTTCCAGAATTTTCAAGAGCTTCCCATAAGTTCTGAGAATTTCTCGGAAGATTTGACAACTTCCCAAAAAAATCCGTGGATTTACAACGAACTCCAAAAACTTCCCAAACATTTCAAAAGCTTTCCAGAAGTTCCATAAACTTTCCAGAAGAACCAAGAACTTCACAAAATTCCGAGAACTTCCCAAAAAAAAACCTTCCCATCAGTTCCAAGAGCTGTCCAGAATTTTCGAAAGCTTTCCAGAAATTCCGAGAATCTCTTAGAAGATTTGCGAATTTCCCAGAAGAAGAACTTACTAGAAATTCTGAGGACTTCTCGAAAATTCCTAGACCTGCCCAGAATTTCCGAAAACTTCTCAGAATTTCCGACAGATCCTGACAAGATGCGTAGCTTTCCAGAATTACCGAGAGCTTCCCATATGTTCCGAGAATTTCTCAGAAGATCTTCCCAAAAAAAATCAACAACTTCCCAGAAGTTCTGTAGACTTCTCCCACAAATTCTGAGTACTACTAGATCTAGATCTCCTAGGTTTCTTTCCAAAAAATCGGGGAATTTCCCACAAGATCTCATAAATTTTCAGAAATTCCAAAAACTTCTAGAAGATCCTAGACTTTCCAGAATTTTCAAGAGCTTCCCATAAGTTCTGAGAATTTCTCGGAAGATTTGACAACTTCCAAAAAAAATTCCGTGAAAACTTCCCAAAAATTTCAAAAGCTTTCCAGAAGTTCCATAAACTTTCCAGAAGAACCAAGAACTTCACAAAATTCCGAGAACTTCCCAAAAAAAAGCCTTCCCATCAGTTCCGAGAGCTGTACAGAATTTTCGAAAGCTTTCCAGAAATTCCGAGAATCTCTTAGAAGATTTGCGAAGAACTTACGAGAAATTCTGAGGACTCATCAGAATTTCCGACAACTTCTCAGAATTTCTGACAGAACCTTACAAGATGCGTGCACTTCGTAGAACATCCATGAACGACCCACAATTTATGTGAGCTTCCCAGAAGTGTCTTCCTAGAACTGTTCAGAAGATACTTGAGTTTAACAGAAATTTCGAGAACTCCCCCAGAAGATCGACAAATTTCACAGAAATTCCAAGAGTCGTTCAGAAAACTTTCCAGAAATTCGGAGACTTTGCAGAGGTCTGCAAATTTTTCAAGAAATCCCGAGAACTTTTAAGATGTTCTAAGAACTTAAAAATAATTCAAAGAACGTCTCAGAAATTTCTAAATCTTCCCAGAAGATGCCAGAGCTTCCCAGAAGTTTCAGGAACTACCCAAAATATAAGATACTAAGAAATTTTGAAAACTTCCCACATTTTCTGAGATTTTTCGAGAATCAATATCGAATTAGGAAGAAGTGACGGTATAATCATTTGAATAAGATTTCCATTAAGATGTTTGTTCGAGACTTCTGGTTCACCAGGTATTTATTTTTCTGATAATACCAATCAATATGAATTGATTGCAGACTACTAAGATATTTTCATGAAGATCTCCAATAGATCATCAATTCAAATTACATTTCCTAGATATTCATTTCAAGTTGAGCCGCAATTGTTAAAAGATCTGCAGGTGATCAAAGGTCTCGGTGAAGCCCTCTGGTTGTTTGTTCAAGACTTTAGGTTCATCAGGTACTATTCTGAAGATCGCCATCTGCCCAGCAATCCTAATCACTCTCTTTTGCTGTTGCTTAAAAATCTCTGTTGAATCCTCTGGATGTTTTTTCAAGATTTCAAGACCATCTGCATTTAACGGTTAGCAGTTCTAAGAAGTAAGATATTCTCCCCTTGCTATCAAGTTCAGCATCATCTTTGGATAAGCACTATCTTGCTCAAAATTTACGAAGCCCATAACTGCGTTCACCGATACCACCTAGAGTATATGAGACGCCCCTCTACTCTATTGGTTGGCTTGCCCTCCCTTATGAAGAGGCCTGCACACGTCTATGGAAGCCAGTCACAATTTTGAGTGGATCCATAAACACTATGGTGGGTCATATTTGTATGGCGGATCACAACTCACTGCAGAGCAGTGGGCTTTAGATGTGAATTGAGGTCCCCATCAACTGCCACATTTGAACGAATTTGGTTACGTTCTGGGTTTGCGGGAGAATGTTGAATGTTGTATGGGAAAAGGAACAAAACGTTTCATTTGCTTGCCAAAAATTCAAAAAAGGCTCAAATTTTACCAAACCTTGAACTTTGATTGATAATAAGGTAAGGTCGGGTCACGGGCAAGATGAGTTAATTCGACAGTGAGCATGCATAAGGGCGTAAACGCGATGATCGATTCTCTTCGTCGATTTTCTCTTTAGCTAATAACTTGCTTGGATTAACGTTTCTCGGTGCGTTTGCTGTTACATTTGATACCCAGTACAACCAGTTACAACACTACATTGAACAAATTCCAGAAAATTGTTCCGCTTAGCAGTAGCAATGTAAGGAGAAAATCGATGAAGAGAATCGATCATCGCGTTTACGCCCTTATGCATGCTCACTGTTGAATTGTTCCGCGCATACCTTCAGGCGTATACGCGTAGCTTGCAGGTTATGTGCGGAGAACTTGGTCTAAAGTAAAATAATAATAACTTTTTGTCTAGAAGTCGAATCGATTTACAGTTTTGGACCAAGTTGTTCCGCTTAGTATACTCAATCCGAGGTTAGGTTAAAATTGAGCTGTATTTAAATTTTTGACAGGTATTTGAAATTCCCATGCAAACTCTACCGCTCTCCCGCGAATACAGAGCTTAACCAAATTCGATCAAAATGTTGCGCAGTTGTGGGGAACAGGGGGTTGTTATATTGTGGGTGGCTCCAAAGCATCAGATGAGCGCATAGAGCGTTGAGAGATCCACTCAAAATGGTGGATGGTTTTTTATAGGTAGGAACTTTAACACATTGTAGGTCATTCGTGACTTATCCGGGGATGAGATATGAACTTGGGACCGTTATTAGCGTGAGCGGCATGGACCATGCTAGGCCGATCTCTTCCCCAGAGGGGAATAAACGTTAATAGTGAGTAAATTAACACAGAACCATTGGGATGTCCAGGGATTCCCTTTGTAGGCAAGTTCACTGCCTTATGGGTAAATATAGCCCTAGAATCACTGGAAAGTCTTTAGTTTTACTACCAAATGATTTCCAATCAACATATCTTCAGGATTCCGACAAATTAGCCTAGACCGTATTCAGAAATCCTTCAGAAGTTCCACGAAATTGACGTAAATTTCCCTATCAACACGACTGATGAGAGTAACTCAGAATTGCGTATAATTCGACTCAAAATGGATTCGATTTTCCTCAAAAAATAGGTCATATAAGGAAAACCAATGCAAATTTTACTTAGTTTACGACTAAACTCATTAGACTGAGTAAAATATTCATCGATTTTCCTGGTATTCAAGCCGATTTTTGAGGAAGTTTTACGCATCCACACTGAGTAGCACCACTTTTTTTTCAATTTCATGTTACTCTCAACGGTCGTGAACGAATCCTCTAGTGATTTCAATTTTCTTTAAGATTATCATGCATCGACTCAACTATTCAACCTGCAAAATAGAGCAATAATATTTACTGAAAATCTAAACAAACAAAAAACCCACACTCACCGGATACGTCTCGATCGGTTTCGTCTCCATGTGCAGATCCCACACCTTAATACTCAGATAATCTCGGGATATCATGTACCGGCCGGTGTTGCTCAGCTTGACGTCACTGATCGAGCTGATGATCTCGCGAAAAAAGCTCTTGTTGGTGATGTCCACGTCCTCCGGTTCCTCGAACAGTTTCGCGTGCCGGTCGCAGAGCGCGGACGAGCGCATATCACATAACCTAATTGTACCCTTGCTGCTCGAGTACACGAACACGTTGCACTCGGTCGGATGGAACTCGGCCGCCGTGATGACCTCCGTCAGTTCCTCCATGTTGGCCGGCTTGATGTCGACGATGTTGAAGCTCTGGTCGGTGATCTCCAGGTGCCACAGGTTGAGCCGGAGGTCGTCCGCCGAGAGGTACGTCTCCTGGTCCGAGTTGACCGATATCGAGTTGATGTGGTAGGTGTGAGCATTGGCGAAGATCCGACGGGGCGACGCCTCCACCATCAGGTCCATTGGCTTTATCGCTGGCACCCGCAGCGCGCTGATCGACGACGGATCACGCACGCTGCCGTTGTCCTCCCGCGTGTTGTACCCTTCGACCCGTTTGTCCCGCTCCGAGACCTTCCACAGCTTTATCGTCTTGTCGTTGGTCGACAGCAGGAAGTGCGACTGGTTCTTGCGCTTCAGCCATCGGATCTTGTTGATTTTCTCCTCTATTTCTAGTGACTTTAGATAGTCGAACTCGGGCTCGTGTGACTGGAAGGTGGAATAGACGTTGTACTCGCCGCGCCGCGGGGTGGACGATTTCGAGGCAGGATCTCTCTGCGAAATAGAAAGAGAAAAATGGTTCCTTTTAAAATCGATTCGTAGCAGGACATTAGCATTTGGGGAACTGCGGGGTAAAATGAACAACGAAGACGCACCGATTGAATTGTCTGTGTGCTTGAATGGTCCGCCCTTAAAACGTCAAGTGTTCATTTTGCTCGCATTTCCCCTACAGTGTCGACCGACGTCAGTTGGGGCTTATTATGCCAAAAAAAAAAACGGGGCAAGGACAACGGAGAAAATCATTTATTAATTATTGAGTCTTTAAGAGACACGCGACATGAGTTTTTAGAACCGAGCGGCAATTGAAGGATGAGTAGGAGGAGGAGGAGAAGAAGTGGACGAGTGAGTGTACTGCTCATGTTGTAGTAGGAAGTGGAACAACATAGAAAGCACACTCCATCTCGCTCTCTATGGCTTTATGGTCGGTTCTCGTCAGACTCTGTGCTCGCTTCGAATGGAGCACTTCACTTCTGCTGAGCTTGTCAAATCGATTGAAACCAACCGCACTCGTCGTGGGTAGGCACTAGGCAGCAGAGCTAGTTCGCTTTTTGTCAGCCAATTTTTCTTGAATGGTGATGGTTACCTTTTACGTCAAGAATCGTCCCGGTTAGGATTGGACTTAGATGTTGTTGATGTCGCCAGTTTGAAGGTCGCCAGTTTGAAGGTACGATCGAATAAGATTGACAATTTCAATCATGCTTCAAAATTTGCGCCCACGTGCTTTAGTGGATTTGTTAGTTCTCTTGTAAGCTGCTACAAGGGCGGGGTTTTTTTTGCAAAAAATGTGGCATGGCCAGCCGTTAAAAACTCGGTGGTTGATGCATAAATGACGTAGTATATTTTTGACCGATTTTTGGCCCCGTCCTCCCCTTTCGCAGCGTATTTGTTTATATCCATGGAAGGTCAGGCATAATTTCTGTAGGCCCTTCCCCCTAAACAGCTGCGTCTTTGCATGGTCCAAGTGAACTACACGAGCAATTACTTTGTGCAAATCTTGAATAGTTTGGAAATCATCTAACTTTAAAGAAGCTCAAAAAGAAGAAATTCAAAGCTCTCTTCCGAACTTTCTATAAATTATTTAACATTCTGTGAGCCATCCTGAACCCTTTCTGGAACAATCAGGAGGGTCTCAGAATATCAACAGAGTATGTAGTCTAATAAACTTTCTTAAAGATTTTTATTATTTCAAAGGCTCAATCGGGTTAGCTTTACGGGGCCGATAATTCATTGTTTTGTAACAACATTTAGATAATTCTACTTACATAGGTCTAGTAGGAGTTGGGCCGAATACTCGCGGTTTACCCGAGGTTAGATGGTTACATTGTCGAAGGATAGGATCAGGAGAGGAGCTTTGGGGTGGTGTATCGACATCTCATCAGAGCGTTGCCCTTCTTGAGGATCCCTTTCTTTGAGTTCTTCTTGCAATTCTTTGGGGATTCCTAAAATCTTCCAATGTTTTCTTAATCTATCCGATTTGTTTCTTAAGCACTTATATTAAGTACCCTAAACTTCTCTTACGTTGCCTGTATTTCTTTGAAGTTCCCTGAACTGTTCTGAGGGTTCCTAAGCTTCCATGAGTTGTTTATATATTAATATATTTTAAACTTATGCGAACTTGTAAGAAGTACTCTACAGGTTGACATAAGCAAAGGCAATAAAGTTTCCTTGGATCACACCATATGGAATCAAAAAAGGATATACGAGGAACTATGAGTTCTTAAAATCATCCTGAAGAACTGATCTTGAAGTTCTACATGCTTAATAAAGTTTTTCTCGATGTCCCAACGATGTCCAGAGAGCTTAGTAAGACCTCATTACATCAGGGAAGCTACATATTTGTGTTAACAAATATCTAAGATTCTCCAAATCATACTGAAGTTCAGATCTTGATGTTGTTTAGGCTCAACGAGATTTTGTACGACATTCAGACTTAATATTGGCATTTGTAGAGCCTCATGTAGCCCTCTTACATCATGTAAGATATAAAGTTGAAATGACAAAATAACTCGAGTCCTCCAAATCATCCAGAAATTAAGATCTTCAAGTTCTACAGGCTCAAGTCTTGTACGATGTCCTGACTTATTACTTGAATTCATGGAGCTACATAGGACCTCATCGCATCATGTGAGCCGTATAGATGAGTTAAAACAATATCTAAGATTCTCCAAATCACCATGGAGTTCAGATTTTGAGATTCTACATGCTCAACGGGATATCGTACGACGTTTCGACTATTTTTTTGCACAAGTTGTATGATGTCACACATATTTTTTTGAAATTGTATTGCATCGTTATGAACATACTGGAATCCCCTGAACAGCGCGGTTCGTTCACCCACCGTAGTTTCTCGACTGTTTTCCAACCAAATGAGCTGATTTTATGTAGATGACAAGTTTATGGTTAACCCAAGTCACATACATAAAATCAACTCAATCGCATGGAGGACAGCCGAGAAATTGCGGTGGATGGACCTTATTACCCACCATTTCTGTAAGATCTTGATGCTCTACAGGCTCATCGAAGTCTCGTATAACGTTCCAACAGACCATTCGAGTTTGTATAGCAATGTGAAAACTTATTACATTATGTATACCATATGTATTTTTGTCAAGACCAATTGCTAACATTCGATGGGTTTCCTAAAGCTTCAAAATATCGTGCAATTATCAAGACCCAATCCTCAATATAACTTGGAGACCCCAAAATATGTTGTCATTACAACTACATATTCCAGAGTGAGTGAATCTGAGGTTCACCTGAACGTCCGTATGAACTTTATGAAAATTTCCAAGATATTCAAGGAAGCATTTGAGAAGTTCGGAGTGTTCCCAGAGAACTTCTCTGAAGATCTGGAATCTTTTCTAAAATTCACTGAATTGATTTTTTGAAATTCTCCTGAGCTTCTCTCTACTAAACTTGTATGAAGTTTTTTGACTGCTTCTACACATGTTTGTTTTAGACAGTCTAAGCTTCTATCTGTGAACTTCACTGAACTGTTTCCTAAAGCTCTATGCACTCTCAGAAAGTTTCTGCGATTTTCAAGGAACCTTTGACAGAATCCAAGTGTTTTTGATTTTCTCCTGAACATTTTCGATTATCTCTCTAACTTATCTGAGGTTCTCTGTGTCTCTTTGAGGTTCCTTAGCATGCCCTAAATTTTCGTGAGTTTTGAAATAATTCGATAGTTTTCTCCCAAAATTCGCTGAATTTCTGTGAAGGTTTCTTTTTCCTCAATCTTGTTAACTACTTTGAAATTTCTCTGAACTTCTCGGAAATTCTTCTGAACTTCTATGAGTCATCCTAATTAAGTCATTCTGAGGTTCCTGTGATGTTCACTGAACATTTTCCGATCCAGAAAATCCTAAAATTTTCCTGAAGATCTCAGAACTGCTCATAAATTCCAAAAACTTTTAAAAGATTCAAGTACTTCCCAGAAATTCTGCTTTCCATAAGTTCCGAGAATTTCTCGGAAGATCTTCCCAACAAAATTATACAACTTCCCACAAGTTCTGCGTACTTCTCTCACAAATTCCAAGTACTGCTAGATCTAGATCTTCTAGATCTCGGATCGTCATATAAATTCCGAGAGTTTCCCAGAAGACTCTCGAACTTCCCAGAAATTAGTAGAACTTTCCAAAAAATCCAAGAATTTCCCACAAGATCTTAGAACTTCTCAGAAATTCCAAAAACATCTAGAAGATCCGAGTACTTCCCAGAATTCTGACAGTTTTTCAGAATTACCGAGAGCTACCCATATGTTCCGAGAATTTCTCAGAAGATCTTCCCAAAAAAAAAAACAACAACTTTCCAGAAGTTCTGTGGACTTCTCTCACAAATTCTGAGTACTACTAGATCTAGATCATCTAGGTTTCTTTCCAAAAAATCCGGGAATTTCCTACAAGATCTCATAAATTTTCAGGAATTCGAAAAACTTCTAGAAGATCCTAGACTTTCCAGAATTTTCAAGAGCTTCCCATAAGTTCCGATAATTTCTCGGAAGATTTGACAACTTCCCAAAAATTTCAAAAGCTTTCCAGAAGTTCCATAAACTTTCCAGAAGAACCAAGAACTTCACAATATTCCGAGAACTCCCAAAAAAAAAGCCTTCCCATCAGTTCCGAGAGCTGTCCAGAATTTTCGAAAGCTTTCCAGAAATTCCGAGAATCTCTTAGAAGATTTGCGAAGAACTTACGGGAAATTCTGAGGACTCATCAGAATTTCCGACAACTTCTCAGAATTTCTGACAGATCCTTACAAGATGCGATCCTGAACATTTTCCGAAGTACTATGAACTCTCAGAGATCTTCTGAGAAATTGAAGGAGCAGTTGAGAAGTTCGATTATCTTCTCAGAAATTCGCAGAAATTCTCCTTTAACTTTCTTGAAATTCTCCTGAGCTTCTCTGAACTTTACTGAAGTTCTTCTAAACTTCTAAGATGTTTCCTGAGACTGTCTGAGTTTCTCTGAAGTTCACTAAACTGTTTCCTGGAGTTATATGAACTCTCAGATTTTTTGGATACCGTCAGGGATCATTTGTGAAGTTCGGAGTGACACTGAAGTTTTCCAGGACATTTACGATAATTTCTCAAGTTTCTCTGAGCCTCTTTGAGTTTCGACCTGTGAGGTCCAATAAATTCCGTGAGTTTCTCGATAGTTCTGAATTTTGAGTGAAGATGGTTGCTTTTAACTTTGTGAGCTTCTCAAAGGTTCGTCCGAACTTCTTTGAAATTCTTCTAAATTCTATGAGGTTTTCTTTGAGTCACTTGGAGGTTCCATGATGTTCACTAACTACTTCTGAACTTCCATAAACTCTTAGATCACTACTGAGATTTTCAGGGAGCAGTTGGGAAGCTCGAAGTGTTTCTGAGGTTCTCCTGGACATTTGCAATACTCCCTCCTAGACTACTCCGAAGTTCCATAAGTTTCTCCGAAGTACCATGATCTTCCCAGAAATTCGCTGAATTTCTCTGAAGGCAAGAACACTTAACTTAACTT